AGCGATTCAAATTAGATATGATATAATCTGCGATTCGGGGATCGGTATCATATTGGTTCCTGCTGTTCCAATTACAACTCGGCTGAGTCGAAGATGACTAGACCGAGTTGGCGAACCATGGTGATAATTGGAAGATGTTGACAAGGAAATTCATTTTTCTAAAGTTTTCCATTGGTCTATGCACTCTTAGCGTTACCTAATTTGGAGGCATAATTAGTGGACAATCTAAGAGAAAATTGTGATGCGCTTTTAAGTGAGATAGCCTTAGGGCCTAATCCTGGAGTCAGGTTTGAGAACTTAGTCATTGTCAAGCTCATGGGACTTAGTTACAAAGTATTGTTAAATAAGGGACTTAATTGTTAATATCAAAAGTTGATAACTGTCATAGAGTTCGTGACAAATATTTGTGATATAGTTAGTTAGTTGATTGAGCTAAATATATAGCTCAAGAAGCATTGTATCGGAATCAGCTTAAGAAATAAGAAATCTGGATCATTCTATTCTTCCCCCTCTCTCTCTCTCTCCCTCTCTTCTTCCTTTTCTTTTTTTAATCCATCGTCTCATTGTTCATTCTTACAACTTACTACTGCATTTGTGGTTAGTTGTAATTCACTCAAAAACTCTAGTTCTTGACAAATTGGTATTCGGAACCTGTCGATTCGTGGCCAATAGAGGAAGTTACCATGGTAGAGAGTACAAGATTCAAGACCTTGGAGGACCAGATCAAAAAGCAAGAAGCTAAGCTACAAGAAGTAGTGGAGGATATGCACAAATGCTAGCTTCAATTTCGTGAAGAAATGGAGGAAAAGAACATATGAATCGAGTCATTAATCATTGGAATGGATTAGAAATTCAATGCACAGTTCAATGGTGAAGATCATGACTAATAAGGAGAAGGGAGGAACTAAAGAACCCTTGTTGCCTACTCCTCCTACACATCACAGGTTGAACATGGGGGTAGAAAATGAGGGCAAGAACTGCGAATTAATAGGTAAAAGCTCATATTACAATTCTCCCAAAGTTGAATTAGTCATGTTCTGTGGTGAGAGACCAAGTGACAAAGTGCAGTAAGTACTTCTTGATTAATAGAATACCTGAGGAACACAAGCTGTTAGTGGTTGAAATGTTTTTAGATGGGAAATCTGATAATTGGTATCAAGAGATTAAATTGGAAAAACCTAACATGAAGTGGTCAAAATTTGAAGAATTACCGTGCCAGAGGTTTACTGGAAGTATTAATCAAGATGTCGTGGAAGATGTCACACCCCATTTTTTGCAACAAAAAATTTTTTACAAAAAATCTATTTTTGATTTAAAAATAAAACAAGTGAAAAATGGCCTAAAATCGGACTTTAAAAATGTGACACTTTGGGCCTAAAATTTAGTCTAAAAGGGTTTTAGAGAGAAAAAAAAGGAATCGTCACTTGGTATTGAGTTTAGGTGTGCCAATTCATCCAAAAATATTCTTGATCAAAAATAAAATAGAACCCTTTTTGACAGCTCCAGGTCTTTGAAAACGAGAGAAAATGAGGTCGGGAGTCAAGGTTGAAGAAAGAGAAGGCAAGGGTTTGATTGACTCAAACCTACGGCACCCTTTCAATCTAATTTAAACTAGTAGCGAGATTTAGTCAAAATTTTCCTAATGTAACCTTTAAATTTATCACATGTGGATGTTTTCTATATGGATGCAAATTTATATTTTAAGAACATATCGAAAAGGGCAAAATGTCCATTTAACATTTAATAGGTACCAATCACATTAATTGCGAATCTCAAAACAATCTCTTGAAGAGGTCACGAGCATGTAAAAATGAGACTAAAAAAATTAAATTATATATAAGTATAAGTAATCAAAGAAAAGGGAATGCAACATAACAAAAACTCGTGACATAATTTTCTTTCTTATAAAGGGGTTAATGGGGTATTTAAACTAAAGAGCCATAATCACCCATTTCCCATATTGGAAAAATGACTCTTCTAACATAGACAAGCAAATGTACTAACTTATTTTTCTAATTTTCTAAATAAGATGCAATTCTAAATGATATAGTTCACACATATAGAGGTTAAGGGAATATTATAAATAGAAAGACCATGCAAATGAGAAAGATTACCTAAAATGGAAAAGATGCATGAAAATGCAATGAATGACACGCAATACATGAATCTAGCGCATGGATGACCTAAGGATCTAGCGTTGAACTAACCATTTCTATAAATTCTCACTAGCATTGAACTAGTAAGTGATCGACAATTTCCTACAAGCGCATAGGGTAGATCATACTAATAATTTTCTTGCAGTATTCCAAGATCGAACCCACAAGGACGAGTTAATTTTCTATTTTAATTATTCTAACAAAATAATAAAATTCAAAGTTGAGGAGTTTTATTTTCTAACTAAAAAAATAAATAATAATCAATTTAAATAAAATAGTGATGAGAAAACAATAGACGCGAGTCTAGGATTTCGGGTTTTAATCCTGAATTTGAGTCAATTATCTAGTTAATTTCTCAATAAACCATGAACGCATCACGCAATTGTATTTTAGATTGTTTCTCGATACATCTAAAGTATGTCTAATTAAATCCTACGTCTCTCTCGAGATTGCAAGCATTCAATTAAACTCTTTAAGAACTTTAGTTATATAAGTGCGTCATACAAATCCCAACCTATACTCGTGATTAGGTTAAGTATATTTATCTATCTAGTACACGGCTGTATCTCTTTTCTCAATTCAATATAAGCCCTAAGAGCATGTCTATGGTGGCCAAACATACATAGATACTTAAATCAAGATAGATAAATCATATAAAAAAGCAAGAGATTAACCTAGAAGAATTAATCAAATTCCTTCACAAAAATCCAAACCCTTGAAACAATTTAGCTCAACATGATTTGGAAATTAAAACTATGAATTCAAAGAGTTGCTATAAAGATAAGAAACAGAGTAAGAAAACTTCTTAGTTGCTTGCTCCAATCTTCTCCTTGCGCGCTCCGTTGATTCGCCTTCATTTGACCTTAATCTCTCCAGAATAATTTATGAAAAGATATTAAAACTAATCTAGACTAATGTTTTCCACCCCTAAAAATGTCCTAAATAGCCCCTATTTATAGTTTCTTAAAGGTTACAAGTGAATCCCTCTTGGATTATGTCTCCTTCAGTTTTAAAACAAGCACGTGCATCGAGACCCGATGAAGATCGGTGATAACACCGGCGATAAGACTGGCACCGAAGTTCTTTCGGATTAAGCCCTCCGCTTCATCAGACCAACATCGACGATATGACTGGCACAAACACTAGCACTGGAATTGGCCTCGCAAACTCTGATTCATTGTCTTTCTTAGCCGTTTTTTATCAACACCTCATCATTTTCCTCTTTTTCCTCTTTCAGTGTTTCTTCACACCGTGTTTTAGCCATTCTCTGTCCAATTGAGTTTTTCACCTATTAGAACAACATAAGAGCAAAATTAAGTAGTTTCTACTCAAGATAAAGCTCAAATAACTTGGTTAACTAGCAACTTATACCTATAAATGCATCACAAATTACGCCCTATCAGATTCCCCTACACTTAATCTATGCTTGTCCTCAAGCACATGAATAAAATCAATTAAATGCAAACAATGGCTATATTCAAGACTATCATCATTAAAGCAACCATTTTAAGCAAGTGTCAACTGCTAATAGTGAAAACCAAAGAGATACTTCTTTGGTTAGCTTTAAAATACCATCAACCCTTTCGACTCTGGCTAACTTAATTAGGAATATAAAATATTTAAAAAGTATTTTCTCGCAAATAGCCCAACTATTAAGCAAAATCTCAAACTTATAACCAAATGGATCCACAGCTATTATTATAATCCACATATTTTTGTTTCTTTTCCCTTTATTTTTCTCTTTGTTTTCTTCAAATTCCCCCACGCTTGACCTTTTTCACATTTTAACAAGGGAAATATGCTCAATTCTTAGCCGTTCAAGTCTTTTGACACGAATTCCAACATTTTTCAAATGAAAGAGCCGGGTTACTCAACTTGTATCGCTAAAGAATCACATACTCATAGTTATCACCACTGTTTGACGCGAAAGCCGACACTTTTAGGTGAACACCCTTGATTATTAGGCAACGACAACTAGTAGAGTACAGTTAAATTAATAAAATAAGCATTTAACGCCAACAATAACATAAAACCTTGCTTCATATCCCATTATCATGGACAACTAAGATTAGTAATTAGGCCAACTTCACAAGAAAAATGCTAAAAAAATATTTACAATGCCTAGAAAAATTAGCCAAATATTGAAAAAGTTCCAAAATATCAAATATTCACCAAAGATGCACTCTATGACAATACCATTTAGTACTTAACACATTTATACGAATAAACTTTAATCTTAATAATATTTGAAATATAAGCCATTGTACATTAAGGAAATCAACAATAGGAACAAAAATTTGAAAAAATTTAACCAAAAATTTCACTTCACTCTTTCTCCCTTCCCCCACACTTAGGACAATATTGTCGTCAATGTTCGGGATGAAATAAATGAATAATAACAAGAAAAGAGTTAAGAGTGAGACTCCTCTGATAACAAATGAATTCCATTGACCAAGCGAAGTGGGAGAGAAGTTGCCATTTACCATCCAATAGTCAAGTTCTGGAAGCCATCCTACCAAACTAAAAGAATAAAAGAACGCTATAAACAAGGGTTAAACTCACCACCAATAACCCAAACTAGAAAGCAATAAAATCCCAAGAAAATAAACACCACCATTAATCCCAAAAACAAGGAAAATATTAAATGAAATTAAAAATAAAGTTGGGTTGCCTCCCGATAAGCGCTAAGTTTTTATGTCTTCAGCCGGACAATGCCGATAATCTCAAAGAGGATGAAATGGTTCAGATATTTGCACATTTTCTAATTTATGTACCCGCAGTACTGCACAACTGCTTACATCAACATTGTGTTTCCGGATCACCGAGGAAAAATATGAGCAATAATCATGCAAAGGCAAAAAACCTATGTCCTGCTCTAAGACATTTTTCACCATACAACTCATTAGTAGCAGCAATATAGGAACAAGATTCCTCATAAGAAGGATACTTTAAGGGTTTAAAAACATTAAATTCTTCTTTCTCTGTACCAACCTTTAGAGTTAATTTTCCTTCAAGTAAATCCATAGTAGCTCCCCTCGTAGCTAAGAATCCTCTACCAAGGATAATAGGTATAGAAATATCTTCCTCCATATAAAAAACAATAAAATCAGTAGGAAAATAAAATTTACCAACTTTAACCAATAGATCTTCTACAATACCCATTGGATAACACACTGAATGATCAGCCAATTGTAGAATCACTTGAGTAGGCACTATGTTGGTAAACTTCAATTTCCTAAAAAATGATAAAGGCATCAAATTAACACTAGAGCCAAGGTCACATAAACATTTATCAACAAGAAGATGTTCAAATTGACAAGGCACAGTAAAACTCCCTGGATCTTTCATCTTAATTAGAAGACGATTTTGGAGTACTGCATTGCATTCCTCAGTAAGGGACACCTCTGCAAAGTCCTTTAACTTCTTTTTATTAGATACTATCTCCTTTAAGAACTTTGCATAAGCAAGGATATTTGCCAAAACTTCGGAGAAAGGCATATTAACTTGTAACTTCTTAAACATATCCACGAACTTTTGATATATCTCATCAGCTGCCTTCTTCTTAAACCTTTGCAGGAAGGGGATAAGTGGCACATAAGTTTTAACTTCTGGCACCTTTATACATTGATCATCTTCACACTTTTTGCCCAAGCCATCATGCTCATCTTCAATTTTTTCAGTTCCATCATCCATTTTAACCTCATTTTTCTTCTCAAGTACCGGCTTTACTTTAGCTTGTGGATCATCCAACACCTTCCCTGAGCGAAGAGTTATTGCCATTGTAGCTTCTTCAGGATTCACCTGAGTAGTACTAGGCAGTTTATCTTGCCCCTTCTCAGTCATTCCCTTCGACAATTGGCCTACTTTTTTCTCAAAACGTGAATAGAAGCTTGTTGAGATTGAGTTATGTGACAGTCCCACTTCCCCCTAATGTGAACTAAAGGGTTCGGTGGACCGCCTGCCTAACTCTCGCGGGGGCTCACTACAGTCCTCAAATAAAAATGAAAAAAATAAGACCACAAGAACAAGTGTAACAAGAATTCCAAACTTAAAACATATACTTATATACATTTCTATCTCAAAAGGAATACAATTCCAATATACAAAGGTTCTCAATTTTTCATACATCCAACTCTTGCCAAGCGCTAGGGCAAGAACCATTACAAAAAAAAATTTAAAGAACTAGACTAGGCTAGTCTATACAGATCTCTCGTCCTTACTCGCATTCCCTGTTAAGGAAAACAAAACTAACGAAATAAGATAAAAGCTCAGTGATAACACATAATCAATTTAAACAAGGACATTAATCATGTAATAACAAGTAATCAAGGAAACATTGACAATATGAAACAATGATAACACATTCATTAAAAAGATACATGCTCACATGGAGCCTTTTGTTCTTTCATTCACCTTCTATTTCATTATTCCTCCAACATTTTAAAATGCATTTTGTAAGTGAAAACCCCTCCATTGACATTGTCACTCGTTCATTCATTTTATTCTTCCCCCTTCTAGACATTGGCCAGACTCCACCCGACAACGTGGTAATACTAGAGTATACCAAACTTTCACTCAGAGTCACCAAATCGCCCGACCGAGTTCGCTTCTGGCTCGAGTCGACTGGCAACGAAGGGCAAGGGTCCAGTTCAGCCACAAGGCTTACATTCATGCACAACTAGCGTATAATCAAGTAATCATTGAAAATTTCACATTTATTTAGGTCGAGTGCCATAAAGTACACACTCGCCTAGCAAAACTCAATTTCAGCAATCATTAAAACATTTAACAGTTAATCAAACATCCACAACAAGTCACATAGTCAATGGAAACATAACGTACAAAGAACACTCACCTATTTAAACAAAATAACGTCCAAAGTTTCCTACCGGATAATACCCTCAATCACCAAGGAACCCTAATAATAACCAAGAGAAAATATTACAGCTAAACCATCCAAAGTTTAGGTGAACCAAAGAAAATCCGAATAACTACTAGTACAAAGTATAAGTATAGTTTTGGAAATGAAAAGAGTACATTTAAACCAAAGGATATGAGTAAAATATTTGTAAAACTTATGCTCGCTCGTAAAATTTTGAAATCTCCATTTGAATCGAAGTGACAAAGAAAACGTATTTCTATTAGTCGTAAATTTCATTTTTCTAAAGGTACAAGTTTCGGCCAAATTTCAGCTTATATACCTCTAATAAAGAAGATTTGAATACCTTAAATGAGTCCAAAGGATATGAGTAAAATATTTGTAAAACTTATGCTTGCTCGTAAAATTTTGAAATCTCCATTTGAATCGAAGTGACAAAGAAAACGTATTTCTATTAGTCGTAAATTTCATTTTTCCAAGGGTACAAGTTTCGGCCAAATTTCAGCTTATATACCTCTAATAAAGAAGATTTGAATACCTTAAATGATTCAAGTTAGTTTCATCCTCAACCATTACTCAAGTCGTGAGTACATCTACCTAACTCTCGAGTGCAAATTTGGACAGCACGCTCTTTGTATTTACCTATTTTCCAGCAGTTTATGACTTTATTATTTTTCTCAACTCAGCCCAAATTCACACATAAACAATCTTAACACAATAGCCCTTCAACTAGGCTCATTGTCATCCAAATACAAGGCAATTCTTGCAAGTAAGCTTCACTTGGAAATTCAAAAATGGTGGCTAAAAACTAAGTACAAGTCTTGACCGCTTTAATTCAGGTAACTTGTTAAAAGAGTAAAACTGTGAGGAAATGAGAGATACATTAGCGATAGAAGTTCAATAGGAGTACATTTGAAGTCAAGGAAGTGGAAAATCAAGGTAAAAGGTTGGAAATAGGCCATCCGAGGTTTAAAAGTCAAGAAGCCCATTTCTCTGCTTCAGGAATCTACCTAGATGAATAGTGACAGTAAACTTTTAAAATTCGCAACTCGAGTTCCACAAGTCGAAAAACTATGAAAGTTATACCATTGTAAAATAGATTTTTAGTACTACCACATCCTAGAAGGCATTTTTCAGAGATTCAAATCACAAATAGGCCAAATATTCGATCCAAGTCAAAAATTCATTTTCCTGAAGAAACATGACATTCAAGCAGGGCAGCCTACTTTGAGGAGTCACGGACAGCAGTACACAGGGAGGAAAAATATGAAATTTGTACAGAACAAAGATCCATGAGTCTAGTTTCAAATGCCACTGACAGCACCTAAATCAGATTTTTCTACACCAAGATATAAGCATTTTACTGAGACTAGTCATTTAAATCCGAAAATCTGGAAACTCATGTTTTTTTACTTGTGAAAAACTCCTTTTTCTCTTTTAAAACCACAAGACTTTTATTCAAACCACCCATACACTTAAGTATGACATTCATACCAGCAAGTTTAACATAATTTAAGTATCAAATTTCAACAAAAACCAAAGGTGAAGCTCGGCTCTTCCTCTCTCCCATTTCGGACAATTTCAAGCTTTCACAAGAGTTACTTCAACTTTATTGCTGCCAATCTCACCTCTAAGCCAGCAATTTGCTACCAAGATCAAAGACAACATGCTGCATGTCATACTAAACAAGAAATATAACATTTATAGCATGACTTCCTAGTGGAAACTCCTCAAAAATTCACACTAAAAAGCTGTAAATTGAGCTCATGTTTCTCCCTCGGTCAAATCTAGAAATTTCATTTTAGCAACCATCAGCTCACATGGATACTATATTTACACCAAGCTTCATCTATCAAAAGGGATTCAAGGATTCCCTAGCAACTTGCAGCAAAACAAGAGCCAAAATCTAGAAAACAAAAGGTCATTCCTAGTTCAATCCAAGCTGGAAAATTTCCAGCAATAAAGCAAGTCTCTACAACCTATTTCTACTTCAATCCAACCTCAACCAAACATACATCAAAAGCCCTCTAAAGTATGTGAAAGAAATTGAAGTTCCAAGTCATATTACCTTGAAAACAAGCTAGAAGTTAACTCCCCTGTTTTGGTCCTTCTATTGGATCAAGCAAGCTGGAAATGGAAGTAAGACACAAGCTTCCTTTCAGTTTTCTCTCTTTGGTTCCTCTTGGCTGAAGTGGAAGCAAAACAAGAGATTTCTTTGTTTTCTCTCCATCTTCTCTTGGTTGGAAGGTTGGAGCAGGAGACAACCGTTTCCTCTCAACTCTCTCTACTCTCTCTCGGCTAAAGTGGGACAAAACAAGAGACTAGTCTTGTTTGTGACACCCCAACTTTTGAGATACTATTGTTTTACGGTTTCTTTAATTTATTTTATTTTAAAACATTATTTTGTTTCAAGGAAGATACTAAAGTTATTTCTTTGGGTTTGATTTAAAACCATATTTTGTTTTAACAGACTAGAAACCCTAAAATTTTAATCAAAAACCCTAGTTACTTGTGACTATGTTTAAATCCCTCATAATTAATTCAAAACCCTAATTTTATTCTATGGAATTGTGAAATTCATCACATTTTTCTTAAAATTCTTTTTATTTTGAAATTATTCATTTAATATGACCCTACTACCGAATCATCCCTTAATAAGTGCAAATGAACCTAAAAAGTAGGGTTTCACTTTTCGTTTTCAAGTTGGAGCAAGTTAGGGTTTTTCACGTTTTTCCGTAGTATGATTATTCGGTACCGAGTGAGGATCAAATTTGGTGCTTAAGAGTGACTTTTAGGTGAGAAATAATATGTGATTAAGAGCAATGATATAAAGTTGGTGAATAGGAAGTAAAAATCCTAATACGGGGGATTTAAGGAAAAACAGTGCGAACCGACGTGTACCGGGTACTACCGATTTAACCACCACTTGACCACCACTTTCTTGCCATACAAGCTTATCACTAATTGAGCAAAATATCTTCCCTCTCATGATTACCTATTGACCAACATATGTGGCCCAAAATGCAAGGAAAGAAAGAGAAAATTGTGTGGTTGAGGTTGAGCCAAGTGTTGGCCAACATGTGGACTAAATTAAACCTTATCTCTCCTACCTTCTTATAAGACAAACTAAGCTCTTTCTTCTTCATTTTTTCTTGCTTATGGACGAAATTTTTGAGAGAGAGAAGGGAGAGCAAGAGAAACCATTTTTTTTCTTCTTGATTTGCACCAACCAAGTGAGGAAATCAAATTCTAAACCGATTAAAGAGTGAGTTGTGATCTTTGGAAGCTAGGGGAACTAAAATTTTCAAGAGGAGGTGAAGTGGTACTCTTGCAAGCCTTATTTCGAGGTATAAAATCTGATCTATGGCTTTGATCATTTTACTCTTGTTTAAGATGTTAAATAGTTCATGTTTTGGGTTAGATTACAAGTTATACAAGTTGTTGTGATGATTTTTAGATGATATAAGTGAGTTAGGATTTGATAAATTTCTGCCCAAACTTGCTATATGGTTACTATATGTTGAAAATAAGATTATACAAGGGGCTTTGGTAGTGATTGGAACAAGGAATTGAAGAAAGTTCAATTGAAAACCAAAATTTCCAGATTTCTGGAATTTCATGTTTCACTTCTGCCCGGTTCTAGTACCCCATGTTAGAGGCCGAATTGGGCTTGGAATAAAACATGAAAGTTGTAGAGAATGGTATTTTATAGGTGCCTATAAAATTTCAGCTCAATCGGAGTAATGTAGCTTGTGAAAAGACCAAAATACCCTCACTATTTTAAGGTTTTTCCCAATAGTCCGTTTGGTCAGTTTATCCAGTTTATCATGTTTATTCACTAGGATCCGTACTGATTTAGCCTTTTTCCAAAACATGAAAGTTTTAGTACCCTGTCTTACCTTTTCAACTCTACCAAGAACGTCTCAAATGGACCTCGGTAGACTGAGATATGGTCATTTGAATG